AGTTGATTATTCGCTATTGCCATGAATTATACAACCATCCACATAAATCTTAACTATAATGTCATAGACATATTTGATTTTTTGTCATCGTTATTTTCAGACAAAATTAAAACAATTTTGAAGACTTCTGTTTTGAGCAAAGGAAAGCCATTAGAGATTTTTGTACAGGGTGTAGAAACTATAAGGTGGTAATTTTAGGAGAGTCAATTTTGCAGAAGTAGTGAGGATTTAAGGAAAAAGGAGACTAAAAAGCAAAAAAAAAAAGATTTAATCTATTGTAATATTCCAGGTTGTTCTTATCTCCCAGTTCTCCTACCAGCAACAAAAGATTATAACAGACTATTTTTTACTGCAATACAAATGTAGACAATATGTATATGCATATACACTCATACATATAGGTATATGTATTGCACATATCTATGCTTATATACATGCACATATATATTTATATATACCTATATTCACATTTGGATTATGAGTGACTACATAAAGCAGTATTTCTTTTAAACTCAGGATTGATATTACTCAAAGTCCATAAAAACACAATTTTAGAGTAAAATATAATAAGACTGTAGTCTTGCAAGTTCAATGTAGCTGAATAACCTATTGAGAAAATATATGGCAGTTTTCAATAGACAGACTCATTAGCCTGAATGAAAGAGAAATCAAATGCCATTTACATCTCCTCTCCAGGATGTACTCAAGTACTGTCTTTAGCCTCAATTTACTCCTGTAGATTAACTTGTGTGTGTGTGTGTGTGTGTGTGTGTGTGTGTGTGTGAATAAAAGAGGAAAGTAGGAACATTCCGAATGCAAACTCTAAATATTGCTTAATACTTTGAAAGAAGCTAAAGAAAACATTATTTTGAACTGTCTAAACAGAGAAGAAGGAGGATTTAAAGTCTAAAGTTTAAAAGACTGGGGGCGGGATGGTTCCTGGGTGGGTCAGTGGTTGAGCCTCAGATTCTTGAAATGAGCTCAGGTCATATTCTCACAGTTCGTGAGATCTAGCCCCATATCAGGCTCTGTGCTGACAGCTTGAAGTCTCCTTGAGAGTCTCTCTCTCCCTCTCCCCTGCCCCTCCCCACATGTGCTCTCTCTCTTTCTCTTTCTCTCAAAATAGGTAAATAAAGTTGGGATGCCTGGGTGGCTCAGTTGGTTAACAACCAACTTTGGTTCAGGTTATGGTCTCACTGTTCCTGAGTTCGAGCCCCACATCCGGCTCTCTGCTGACAACTCCCTCACTCATGCTCTGTCTCTTTCTCAAAAATAAACATAGAAATAAATAAATAAGCTTAAAACAAAAGATGGGAAATGAGGCAGCAGGTCTGACCAAGTGACGTTGGATTCCAGGAGACTAAGGTGTTCAAACCCGCATGCTCTTTAACATATACAGAAAAGTGAACATGTGAGGTGGTTTCGCATCAGAGGCTTTGGGGGATGCTGATGACGGCAGCCCAATGGAAGCCACAGCAGTGGGGAGTCTGGATGAACATCTCATAGAAAGGAAGAAGTGGGAGCACTGCCTAGCCACGTGCTTTCAAGGGGTCCCTCCAGGTTTTGGAAATTTGCAGACAGATGGCCAAGCACATTTCCTGCATTTTTTCATGGAAACAGTTTTCTTTGTTAGGAAGAAGGAAAGATCGACCTGGAAACACATTGAATCAGGATCACTGGCAAGTGTTATTATGGTGAAGGCTAACCTAAATTTCATTTAAAACAATAAAACATGACATTATTTGTACTCTAAGCATACTTAGCAGTTGATAAACTTGTGTCGTTAAACAGCTTACAGTAGTAGCAAATTCATACTACTTTCATGAAATTGAAAGACCCAGGAAGGACATTTCACTTAGCTTATAGTTATTTTCAGATTGAAAATAAGAGCAGAAACAAAGTTAGAATTATGCAATCTTTTGTGTATCATGAATTATATTTACATATTGTGACCCAATAAAATTATATAATGAATAGTGATTTTATACCCATAAAAATAGCTTCCATTTTATGTGTTCTTGATTTATGTCTACTCTCAAAGCCATAGAAAGAGTAGTAAGTGTATTTATGAGGAAAGGCTGTTTTTTTCCCCCAAACTAGAATACAATAAAAAATAAGAATGTCAATAGCATATTCCGTTTTGTATTCAAAAATAAGTGATCTTATTTGTAGTCTAAAATAATTTATAAAAATGAAAATAGGAATAAAAATGACACTCAAGGAACTATAGGAAAGATTATATTTTTAGATTATTACAAAATAAATGTAGAACACTCTGTTATTCTTACCCTACTAGCATTAATTATTGGGCCATTCCCTAAAATGACCCTTGTGATTGTTAGTATAGCCACAAGACAAGCCATGCCTTTGCTATTTCCCAAGGAAGATGATATTTTGATGAATTCTGCATTTGCAATTTAAACAAAAAGCATGAAAATAATTCTAATAAAATTAGTGAGATTAGTGCTAATGTAGTTTCTAGGTACTATAATTGTGTTTTGCATGTGGGAACACAGACTATCAAAGTCAGTTAAGGAATAATGCTGAAAATAGAATGCCTTCCTCTCTTGACAATTTCTTCAGAGAAAAGAAAGGCAAGGGAGACAGATTTTCAATTTATTTCTGTCCCTTAAATTAACACCTTTAAACCCAAATTATGTTGAAAGTGAAACTATATATGTATGAAGAATGCACACTGAGGTTTTCCAGATAGATCGATCCTCGAACAAAGTAAAACAAAGATAGATGTGCCAGAAAGGACAACAACAGCTAAGAAGTGAGTTGAAATAATTTCATTAGGAGAGACCATCCAATGACATCTTTTAGGTAAATAAACTTTTAATCTTCAATGTTACTTACAAGGCTTACAGTACTTAAAATAAGTATGGTTTCAAAAAATATGTTTCATCTGTAGGACTAAGTTAGACATGATATATAATGTTTAACTAAATTTGTCTGTAAGGCTGGTTGGTGAATCTATTCCAAATGTCTGTATAGAATAAATAATCAAGAATGAAGTTGTTTTTTGGTTGTTACCTACTGTTACAAATTTAGTTTATGTATTACATGAATAGAAATAGGGAAGCAATTTAGTAAAATAATGATGATTGCTTTAATATAGGTAAACAATGTACTATGTGACAGCAGAGGGAAAACGTGAGAAGGACAAATAAGACTATTTTATGATAAGCCACGTAATGTGCAAACAAAAGGTGGGAAATGCAGAGATATCAGTTAAAATTATTTTATGATAATACATACAATAAGAAATGGTAAAGCTGTTGGGCACTGCCTCCTTTTGGAGATTTTTTTTTAATATGCTTCTTACTTGTGCCTACTCTTAATCGGTATATTAAGTTTTTAGCAGAATTAGCTCCTTAAAAGAGTTTTTTTAATTGACCATACCAATGTGCTCAGAGGAAAAAAATGCATGTTAATGCTTATCTCCAGTTTTATCTTTTACATCCACCCCTTAATACTCTTCACTTCTTATTTCTCTATAATTTTTGTATTTACTCAGACTCTAACAATTCTAAATTATATACATGTTCCCCTCCTTACATTGTAACAGTTTCCTTTCCTGCATAGAAAAATGATTTGGAGCACCTGGGTGGCTCAGTTGGTTAAGCATACATGCAACTCTTGACTTTGGCTCAGGTCATGATCTCACTCACTCTTCATGAGATCTATCCTGGCATCGGGCTCTGCACTGAGAGTGTGGAGCCTGCTTGGGACTCTCTCTCGCACTCTCTCTCTATTCCTCTCTCTCTCTCAAAAATAAATAAATAAACTTAAAGAGAGAGAGAGAAACAATTTACTCTTCCAGACAAACTCCACACATCACTTCTGTGGACCACTCCTAAAATCTTGCTAATTCTCCTTGCTTCTTCAAGTAGGTTCACTACACACTCAATGCTTTGAAGGGAAGCACTATTCCTTTAGACCCTTACATAAAAGGAATTGTGCTGGAAACATATATTATTCAATTAATTTTTTAAATAAATTAAATTGAAGGATATTTTGTATAACTAATTGCTAACTTGATTGTGTATGGGGTTAGGGAGAAAGTAAAGTGAATTCAAAGATGAAGTTAAGTGAGTAAGCAGTCATAAGATATTCAATCTCTAGTATGTGATTTGGGGATGAAAAGGGATATAATTCAAGTGGAAAGTTATTAGTCATTGAGAGGGAGAAAAGGCATGCATATTATCTTAAATTGACTTTTTTAAGTTTATGTTTATTTATTTTGAGAGAGAGAGAGAGCAAGCAAACACAAGCAAGGGAGGGCAGAGAGAGAGGGAGAGAGAGCTTGATGTTGGGCTCCAACTCACAAACATTGAGGTCCTGACCAGAAGCTTAATCAACTGAGCCACTCAGGTTCCCAGTAACTTGACTTTTTCTCTGAGTTTTTACAATGTCAGTGCAAATGAAATACATAATACATAAAATAGGGAAGGATGGAGATAGGTACTTTGATTTTGATGAAATATCCTTTACCATCAGACCATATTACAGATGTAAAACACTTCAGTAATTATTTGGCCCTGTCAAAAATAAGTATTTGATATAATCTTTTCCAAGGGGAAGGAGAACATTTTTTTCATTATTTTCTCCAATAATTAATGAAAGCATTCATTTCCATATGTTTTATTGAGCTACAGGAACTAACTACTCCCATCTTTCTCCTCCTCATCATCTGTTCAACAATAAACTCATCGCAATCATGACAATATTATTCTTCATCATTTAACTAACATTTACGCATGATGTTCATCTTGATTTATATAAAATTAAATCATAAATGATGTTTATGACCCATCTTATCACGAGATCATTATTCAGATTAATTAGCATTAGTACGTAGCTTTTATTTTTGTCATGTAGATGCTGCATACTAATTCAGTTCCAAATAATGTGGTATGAGGAATGTCACACCAATAGATTTATGTGACATATGATCATGCTTACAAATAGCAATTCACATATCCAAGGAATTATACCTTTGCTGTTTCTTTGATCCAAATGTTTTCTTCTTTCTATAAGAGAGTTTAGAAGGTTGTTTTAATCATAAATGGTTTTTAAAATTATTACAAATAAACTGCACATATGCTTTTCAAGTTAATGAGTACATTAATACTAATATTAATAATATTAATATTATTATACTAATACTATTATAATATGTTATTATATATTATAATATATTATATGTAATATATAATATTATACTAATATTATTATAATAATAATCAACTTTTATTAATAGTTCAGTGACATCAATTTTATAAAAAGATGCATAAGAAATCATGTTTTCTTTGTGCCTGAGCTTTTCCAGTCTGAGCCCTCAGCAACACAACCTTACACTCAGACCTGTGGTGACAGTACAAATGAAGTGAGTGAAAGATTTGACCTTTTTGCAGAAAAGTCAGATTTTGTAGTTAATGGGTGCTTAATGAAGAAATGATAGAATTAATTATAATGAACAGATGAGTAGACTCATCTCTGTGAAATGTAATCATGTGAGGTGATTTTTTCATTATTTTCATAGTTTATTATTATTGAGAGAGAGAGAACAAGCAGAGGAAGAGCAAATAGAGAGGGAGACAGAATCCGAAATGGGTCCCAGGCTCTGAGCTGTCAGCACAGAGCCCAACACAGAACTTAGACTCACCAACCACTAAATCATGACCTGAACAAAAGTCAGACCTCCTGAGCCACCCAGGCATCCTGTGAGGTGATTTTTTTTTTTTTTAAACCTGCCTCAGGAATCCGAAGAACTGAATAGGATTTCACGTTTGACTCTTGTTTAATTCTATTATCTAAAACAAACAAACAAACAAAACAAAAAACAAAAGACCCCAAACTATTCATCTATTGTAAATTTTAGATTTGTCATCTACACAGTAAGGGTAATAATTATATATAGATAACAGGTTGCTATAAATAATAAAATAATATTTTATTTTATTATTTATAATAAATATGCTATAAATAATAAAAAGAGATATTTATAAATTAGTAACTACTATGTTTAAGAGATATTGCAGATAAAAAGTAAAATAAAACTGTGCATGAGAATATATGGATGGCCAAAGTTTCTTTAACTAAAGGTGTCAATATATTTCTCATATTTTGCCTAATATAAGAAACTATTATTAGTTATACGGCATCATTTAAAATCCTTAATTAATGGGGCATCTGGGTGGTTGGTTGGTTGAGCATCTACATGACTCTTGGTTTCGGCCCAGGTCATGATCTCACAGTTTTCAGATCAAACACCACATCAGGCTATTAACTGACAGGTTGGAGCCTGCTTAGGATTCTCCCAGTCCTCTCTCTCTCTGACCCTCCCTCATTCATGCTTTCTCTCTCTCTCTCAACAAATAAATAAATAAACTTCAAAAACAATCCTTAATTACTTCCTTTTCTCTGTACACTAGACAGGTACAGGTACTATGCACCAGACACTGAAGCAATTGTTCAGTGTAGGTGGTTCTTGTTCTCTTCAGGAGTACAATTAAAGCAGTGAAAACAGTTACTAAGCTATTAAAAGAACAAGTGGACAGATCATTTGTAGCAGGTATCACAACAAATACACAAATGTGGGATGCCGTATAAGGCATATGTATTTGAAACAGTGGGGGAGGGTCTTTCACAGGAGGTGACAAGATGGTTCCTGAATTAAGAGAAGGAGACATGGAGGGAAGGGTAAAAGGGACTGTTAGCAAGGTGGTACATGTGTGGAGAGCAGGCTGTCATAACAGAATAGCAGCATGTGCAGAAGTCTTGGAGCAAGAACGAAATTAATACCCTCAGAAGAATAAAAGCCTTCTGTAGCTGTGTCAAAACAATGGCACTAGATAAAACAAGAGAGATAAGCAGGGGGTAATCACCCAGGCTTTTGAAAACATGTGAAGACAATTGGAAGCCTTCAGCATATTAGAAGCAGAGGGCATTTTCACAATACCATCTGGTTGTTCTGTGGGGAATTGATTAAAGAAGTCAGAGAAGAAGTAGAGAGAGTGGCTGGCAGTAGTAAGGGGGAGAGATGGCTGTACTAGAGATTGTTTTTAGGTGGTGCAAAGAAATTAAGTTGCCGATGAATAGATTTTGAAAGTAAATGAGAAAGAAAAGTCATGGAAAATTCTGAGTATTTTGACTTTGGTAGAATTGACATTTACTGGCATGAGAAAGCTGGGAAGGAAATAAGTTTTGAGAGAAAACTGTTAAATTCGGGAAATGAGAAAGTAAAATGCATGTGAGATTTCAAAGAAGGAAAGCTTACAATTTATGACAATAGCAGTATTACGCTAAGTGAAAAAAGGCAGTCAGAAAGAGACAAATATCCTATGATTTTACATATGTGGAATTTAAGAAACAAAACAGATGAACATAGGGAAAGGGAAGGAAGAATAAAATAAGATAAAAACAGAGAGAGGCAAGCCATAATGGACTCTTAACTAAATAGAACAAACAGTGTTGCTGGACGGGAGGTGGGTGAGGGGATGAGCGAAATGGGTGACAGGAATTAAGGAGGGCACTTGTTGGAATGAGCACTGGGTGTTATATGTAAGTGATGAATCATTAAGTTCTACACCTGAAACCAATAATACACTGCATTTTAAAAACTTGCACTTAAATAAAAAAGAACAAATAAGAAGTAGAAATTAATGATGAAATTCTATGTACATACATTTGAGACTCATCAGCATATAGCCAGCAGACAGTCAAAAAATGGATATGATTATCTAGAGAAAGAATATAAACAAGAGAGAAGAGTTAAATTCAAGTTCCAAAGAGTTCTAGTCTTGAGATGCCAAATAGATGTGTGTTTAGCAAAAGTGCCCGTGAAGGAGCAACCATACCTGTCCTGGAAAATCAGAAGATGGTGGTGTTGCCGAAAGCAAGAAAAACATGCATTTTGTGAAGAAGATGCTTAATGACATCACCTCTACAATTGTTACATAGGAGAACTTTAAGAACAGAGTTGGAGTCATATGATTGCAGGAAGATAGGGAAATAGTTTTACATAGATCACATATATTCATTTACTATGGTTTGAGGAGAAGTGATAGAGAAAATGATGGGGCTAACATTTCCCCAAGGTCTCCCATGATACGGCCACTTTTCTTAAATTCTGCTTGTAATTCTAGATAAATAACGATATGCTGATATTTAGCAACAAGAATGGCATTGGGTGTATTGTCTAGACTGTAGACCAGTTTCAGAGTAAAGTTGGGAACACTAGCCAGGTTTGGGTAGATTGAACTACAACAAGGAGATGAGAAGTGAGGAAAAGAAATACTAGTGATTTTTAATAGAAGTTTATCCCTGAGACCTCTGATGAAGTCAATGGACAGTTTTTGCTTCTGTTTTTAAAGCATTGAATTTTGAGACATTTTTGTTTGGGTGAACTCTCTCATCTACCTTATAATTTAAAGGCCATTTTTCTATTATCTTGTTTCATGCTTACAGCAATTCCATGAACCAGATAAATGAAGTATTATTGTTTACATTTTATCAAGGGGGCAAATAAGAGTCAGAGAAGTGGGGTTACTTGTCTAAAGTTACTTCTGAAAAGCAAAACAGAAAATAAGCAACTCAATTTTTGGTGCATAAGGTGGATTTATCATTTGTATCAGTCAGGATTTGTTTTCAGTTCACCACAACTATTACAAAGTAATAGTCACAGACTGTTTGAGACTTGTATTTGGTAAGACTAGTTTGGCCTGACTTGTTATTTTGATTCAGAAAAATAAGCACTGATAAACAAGGGTAACTTTCACAGTCTTTATCAAAGAAAAATCGAAACCAAGATGCAAATATATTCTGAACTCATGTTTTTCTATTTCATGTATTTATCCTTTTTTAATATGAGTTTGGTGGTTATGCTGCATAATTAAACACACTGATACTTACAATGGAAAAAAAAAACAGAGAATTACTGCATATTTCACACACCACCAAACTATGAATTACACTGAAGATGGTTAGTAAGAAAAAAATTAACATAATTTATATCACAGCTGTTGATATTGAAGATCTGAACCATCATAAGATCCTTAATTTTACTCAGAGTTCATAATTAAAGTTATAAGAACATACATATAGATAATGTAGTTAGATAATATACTGAATTGTTTGGGAAGAAAATTTGTTATTTAATAGCTATGCCTTATATATAATGCATAAAAATAACTCTCATAGAATTAAAATAAATGATAAATAATACCCCAGTTCATTATTATCCTGGGCAAAGATCCATTTTTTAAAATTTAGGTTATGAGAATTTTCATGAGTAGTATCAAACTAACACATCTTGACTTTAGATGCATGGCTTTTAATGATTTTGACCCTGTGTGCTTCTCTGCATCTTTCTTCTTCAGAGGCAAGTTGTTTGGATTGTTTGTCTCTAAAAAGGTCTCTCAAGTTCATGTCTTCAGCTTTGTCCTTTCTTCTGAGTAGACATGTTTCTTCTCAGTGTGAACACATTCGTTATTGAATATTATGCTACCATTTTAAATACAACATTTAAAGGGTATAAAATATTTAACAATAAGATTGTTTTCCTGCTTATCTCACATATATGCCAAAGAAATTGCATTTCCTGTAGTCATGTAGGCCTAAAACCACAGAGATACATTTGTCTTCTAGTGCTTTATTTCTCTTCCAAGTTCTATTACTTTTCCTCTGTAAAATTTCACATGTTTGACTATTTTGCTATATTTCCAAAATGCTACATTGATTGTAGTCATTTTTCACAACTACTGCATTTTCTTCTATCAGGTTTTGTGCCTGCAAAAATCTACTCTGCAAAATATCTTATGTTAGAATATCTTCCTAAAGATCCCTCTCCCTTCTCCTGAACAATGGCTCCTTATCTTTAGAATGCATTCAGACCCTTTGTTGTGGCATGCAAGCCCATAAATGATCTGTCCAGAGATTGTCATATCAATTCATCATTCACTTATAAAAATGTTTCACTCCAGCTAAATTTATAAATTATATTTACTCCAAAGATATCCCATTCCCTCTTCCCTCAGTGTCTCATCTTTTCATAGATGCTCTGCCTCTTCCTCAGCTAATTTTAAGTTCCAGCCCTCAATTCTATGTCTGGCTCATGCTCATGGAATTTTTCTTACCTTTGAATCTTAACAGTGTTTATTATCCCATTGTTTGCCACGGCGACACCATACCCTCTCTCTACTTCCTCTCCCCACAGATAATTTTTAATATGGTATTATTTATATAAGTACACTCTCAAAACCATGAGAAAACAAATAACAGCAAGTTATTGAGGGTGCTTGTCAGTCCTAGACTGTCCAACATATAAACCCCGTTAATATATTTCCAGAATGTTCTAGTATGTGGGGCTTATTGGGAGAAGAGCTTCCCTCCAACTATAGAAGATGAAATGGTTTTCCTAGCCATTCAGAATGCCAAGCTATAGACACAGTATCTAGACTTCGCTACCAATTTCCTGGAACAAAAATTAGAATCTGTAGCTATGCAGTTAAAAAATGAATCATCAAGAGCAGTCAGCCCAATTTCAAAAGGCAGGAGTGTATGCTTCCAAAGTTGAGTGGCTGCACCATTCTGGGAGGGACAGGGTGACAGCATTCAGTAGCAGCCACAGCTGTACCCTTACTTTACTATTAGGACACCTGATATAGTCTCTGATTCTGGTTAACTAGAGTTCCCTATATTGTCTCTGATTCTGAGTTCTAGAGTTCCCTGATATTGTCTCTGATTCTGGTTTTCTAGAGTTCTAGTTCTAGAGTTGTCCTTTCTCTGTGCATGTTTTCTTGAAACTTCCTGACAGTCCTTAAAGTACTCAGTATCCTTTCAGCGAATTCTCTGTTGCACAATATTAGTATTTTTCAATCTGCAAATGAGAATCTAACAAATGTACTTGCCTATAGGAAAGCAAAGCAAAATATTTTAAATGTGAGGTTTAGGAGTCGAATTGTTTGCCTCCCCCCGTATATATGTAGAAGTCCTAACCCTGGTATCTCAGAATGTGACCTAATTTAGGGACTCCTGGGTGACTCAGTGTTGAGCATCTGACTTTGGCTCAGGTCATGATCACATGGTCTGTGGGCTCGAGCCCCACATCGGGCTCTGTGCTGACAGCCAGCTCAGAGCCTGGAGCCTGTTTCAGATTCTGTATCTCCCTCTCTGTCTGACCCTCCCTGCTCATGCTGTCTCTCTCTCTCTCTCTCTCTCTCTCTCTCTCTCTCTCTCAGAAATAAATTTTAAAAATTTATAAAATAAAATAAAATTTGTTAAAGAATGTGACCTAATTTAGAAATAGAATTATTGCAGATATAGTTAAAATGAGGCCACACCAAAGTAAAGTGGACCTCTACTCCACTGTGACTGGTGTCCTCTCAAAAAAGGGGAAATTTGGAGACATGTACACACAAAAAGAACACCATAGGAAGATAATTCTCCAGTCCATGTTGCATGCAATCCAGTTAGCAAGTCCATAAGCATCACAATAGAATAATACCGTTAAACTCATTATATGCACTAGAGATGAAATAGACAAAACTCCGACTTGGTAAAAGGTGAACATTTTGTTACAAGGGGAAATTTGTTACTCCAGATGATAAAGTTTAACAGAAATTTAAAGGGTAAGGCAAGAAACTACTCTGTAGAAAAGTTCTTTTGAGTGGGAGGACACCATCTTTCAGCTTCCAAGAAGTACATTGTATCTCTAATGCTCTGAGGGCACCTCCAGTCTTATGATCAGGATAGGAAACAGAAAGAGAAATAGGAGAAAAAGAGCAGGGAATAGACATATTTTTAAATTGAGGGCATGGCTCAATTAAGAAGAAAAACAGTTCTGAATGTCAGAGATGGGGCAAGGGTAGAGTTTTGCTGAGGCTAAAAAGCAAAAAGCCAAAGAAGAACAAATTTAAATTTTATGGAGAGTTTAAGTGACCATTCCAGTTAATGAAAATGTATAGTCTGGAGTGAGATGATTTGAACTCTATGAGACTCTCGTTGGTTCCTGCACATTAGCATTTACCCATACTGAATGATTTCATGGCTTTAAAAACTATTGTTTTTGGTGTTCTTTCACCCAAATGAAAACTTTTAACTTATTAGCTAAATAAGCAGCCAGCAAAGGTGATTTTCACTCTGAGAGTTTTTTATTTTATTTTATTTTATTTTATTTTATATTTTATTTTATTTTATTTTATTTTATTTATTTTATTTTATTTTATATTTTGAGAGAGAGAGCGTGAGAGGGAAGGGGAAGGACAGAGGGAGCGGGAGAGAATATTAAGTAGGCTCATGCTCAGTGCAGAGCCAACACAGCCCTCAACCCAAGACGCTGGGATCATGACCTGTGCTAAAATCAAGAATCAGATACTTATCCAGCTGAGACATCCAGGCATCACATACTGAGAGTTTTTTTTAACCAAATATTTTTTTAAATAGTTTAATGTCAATTTGGTTTCCATATAATACCCAGTGCTCATCCCCACAAGGGCCCTCCTCCATGCCCATCATCCCTCTCTGCCCTCAGTTTGTTCTCGGCATTCAAGAGTCTCTCATGGTTTGCCTCCCTCCCTCTCCCCCACTATTTTTCCCCTTCTTCTCCCCCATGGTCCTCCCTTAATTTTCTCGTATTCCTCCTAATCCTCCTTTACATGCATTTAACCAAATTTTATAACTGACTATTTGATTCTAGAGTTAATGCTGGTCTCTGTATTAATCTTCAGTGATTCAGAAGGCAAGCTCATGGGACTCTAAGATTGACCTTTATGTTAGAGCAAGAAAGTTCAGCTTTTTTTTTTTTTCAATTTTTTAGTGTTTTTTTTTAAATTTATTTCAGAGAGAGATAGAGAGAGAGAGAGACAGCATGAGCAGAGGAGGGTCAGAGAGAGGAGATACAGAATCCAAAACAGGCTC